TGCGAAATGTGAAAATGAAGAAGAAAAGTCGCGGAGTTAATTTAAAAAAAAAAAAAAAAAAAAAAAAAAAAAGATAACGGTGCACCGTTACCGTTGGGACTGTATTCACCATCCATGGTGAACACGGTTTCATGGCATAACGATTGCAATTTGATATGATAGGCTAGGGATACTCAGCCTGAGAGCTGTTTTTTTTTTTTTTTTTTTTTTTGGAAGATAGCAAGAGAGTTGTTTTAATAGTTGTTTTAGTCTAAAAATCATGTCTCTGCAGTTAATTATTTTTGTATCTGTGAATACACATCATATGGTAATTACAGTTACATAACATAATAATTTCAAACACATAAACTGTTAACTATAAGAAAAGAATATATTTAACATGTTATGTGGTGCTATTGAATCTTGCAGGCATGAGAGAATAAATATGAAATGCAGGAGTGGGAAAGCTAAGGTGTTAGGCACACTAATATGCCTCATTGGAGCCATACTACTAACACTCCACAAAGGGAAGCCATTGACAAATAATAAATTATTCAATATTTCCTTAGTTTTGGTGAAGGGATTTTGGGATAAATAGAGTACATTATTTTTAATTTCTTGTTAATTTTTTTTTTGTTTTTCACTCTTCAAATCAAACATATTCTAATGCAACTAAATATAGTAAGAACATTCCTTTAATATGCTGATGTATGAAAACGTACTCTTAAAGGTGTGCGTTATCGTATTCTGAAAACGTTAAAAAATTTTATGAATACACATTTATATTTTTATATTTGTCGCTTCCCTCACCATATGTTTGGTTCATGGAATAGATCGAAAATGGAATACCATTGTTTGTCTTGGAATTTTATTCTTGAGAATGAGTTATTCTCTTTGCTGGGTAATAACCATTCATAGGGAGCCCCGGCCCGTGGTATTAGCTATTCCCAAGCACTTGGGAATAACTTTTGTATGAGTCACACTTGTGTAAGACTGTCTCACAAATCCTTATCCATGAGTTAGGTCGGATCGAGTCAGGTAAATATGCAAATGTAATACTTACACTAGCAAATGTAATACTAAGTCAGGAATAAAATGTTTGTACGTTACTTATAAAAGAAAACATAATATTCCGTACTTTTGAAGACAAATTAATACTTTTATATTTTGATGTAAAAGTATTACTTTTATCATTAAAAGTATTATATTTTTTATTATAAACAATGTTGCATAAGAGATACGGTTAGGGCTCGTACACCCCGTATAAGTTGCGGGGTTATTCCCTCCAATAGAATTTTTAAAAAATCAAAAATTAACAAGTGAATATTAAAATTTAAAATTTAAAATTAATAATATATATATATATATATATATGTATCAGGTGTTAATTAATAATTAATGTGAATTTATATGATTAATTTATAATTATTGATACTAATTGAAAATTCTACAATTAGATTTGGTCTGATTCAAAAAGAAATTCTCATAATAATCTGACACGTGTACGAACCGGTTCTTCAATGATTGTTTCCAACAAAGGCTTCTTTGACCTACACAATGACAACCTATGCCGATACTCTTGCCCGACGAACCCTGACGTCACTCCTAACCGCCCCACGTCATTTCCCGGCGTCTCATCACCTCCCTCCGCCGGAGACACCTTCGCTGCGTTCCCGGCGGACAACCGCTTCGCGGGGGACTTCTTAGCCGCCACGAGGAGGACCGCCACATCGGCGGCGGTGATAACGGAGCTCAACCTCTTCATCGGGAACGCGGCGTAGACGTTCCCGGACTCCAAGTCTTGGTCCGCCGACAGAGGCGAGAATCTCCGGCCGGCGGTCAAAGATCCGGCGTTGACCAAGAAGTGGGTTGGGTGTTCCAGCATGATCTCCGCCGCCTTGACCGGCTCTCGAAGCCGCCGGATTTCCCCGCCGGGGAGGATCACTCTTGCTGCCGCGGCTTTTCTCCCCTTTCTTGCACTGCACGAAACAAGATTTCCCATGTTGAATTTGAACTTGGTTTTTGCCCTTATTTCTTCGAGGCAGAACTGTAGAGATAAATCTCTTGTGCGTAGAGTCAATAGCAGAAACTGATTAAGAGACTGTTTGAATGAGTCGCGATTTACCTTCTCCAACTACTCTTTAGCAGGCCGGGATTATGGGGACTATAAATAAAAATAAAGAAATTGTTGAAGAATATGTAATTTGGTAGTGAGTATATATGGATGAGAGGGGTTTGGAGGTATATATATAGAGGAAGAAGAAGTGATGATGGTCAAAAAGGCACGAGGATTTTGTGTGTACGAAATGAGTAGACTACACGATCGAAACGCGCACGTACATGGCTCCAATCATTATACTATAGACTAGGGTTCACAGGATTAGGGTTCACACTGCACTCTGAACCCTGGGTTCATGTGTGTGTGTATGTGTTTTGCGTTATGAAATTTTGTTCGTACTTGAAATAAATTAATAATTGTGTCTTATATTATAAATTTACATACTGAATGTTCACAACTTATATACTAAATGTTCATAATTTTGTAGAAAGTAAATTATGAATATTCAGTATATAAATTATGTATTTTGAGCATAAGTTCACCTTGCAAAGTGGACCCGGATCCATGGTATAACACTATAACTATTGGGCATACTTCATTTCAACTTTCAAAAGTAGGTGTAATATGGTAACATAAGTCAACATTAAAAAAAATATATTTATTTTTTTAAGAAAGAAAAAAACATTATCCTACTCACTAAGCACTAGGCACTAGGCTTTTTAATCTTCATTTTCCTAATTTTATGGGTTCGTTATGATAATTAATTTTTCATTCATCTAGTATCAATTGTATGTGTATAAACATATAAAATTTATCTCTTTAAATAAGATAATAATAATTTAAACCCACTTTGATGAATTATATTGACCAAATCAGTAGTGAATCCTCTCAGAATAATGCATCGAAATGACCATCCTTGCATGTAATTTTCCAGCTAATTTTCTGACATGGCTTGATTTAATCTAAAAAGGACAATTTTCTTTAACTCAAAAAATATGTCATTTTCATCAAACAGAAAGAGTTGTTTAACCCATGAATAGTAAGTATGATTGATAAAATTAGACAATATTTTTAGGTATAGTTCAAGATTTCCACTGTCAAACACAGGGACCCAACTATCCTGAAAATTTAATATTGTTTTATACCTAAAACCAATGATCAAACTATTAACATTTAGTTAAGAATATATGAGTCTCTTCCATTTAATTACACCCTCCAGGTTAAAGAAATAATACATTGATCTTGCGTCAATATAGTGTAAAAATAAATAATTTCAATATTAATCAATTATGAAAGTGGGGACTATGGAGGAATGGGTAGTGCTAGACAACCTTGATGTAGTATGTAGAAAACAAAGGGTCAAAGAATAGTATTTGAAAATTTCGACAAAACACACATAATTGAGTGGAGGAAGTTAATTACCGGTCGTCACCAATTTCGGCGTTAATGCGCGTGCGGACGCCAATCGCCAGACTAATGCGTTACCTCAAAATAATAATAATAATAATAATAATAATAATAATAATAAATATGATTATGATATACTGAATGTTATAGGCTAATTTTCTGGTGTGAACCATTAATAACGTGTGAACTAGTGGATCAATCTGGAGCATCGGTGTTTTAGATCCAACGGCACCAAAGTAAGGTACAACGTTACTACCCTAGAATATGCAACGTGGCATACAATCCCCTATATCTAACTCCCTCCCAAACGTATTTGAACAGGATTTAAACAGCCCAGACGCGAATCCTTATATGATGGAGACATCGCTGACTGAAGACCAGGAACGAACACCACCCATGGATGCTTCATTAATTCCGGCAGCGGGGCGTGTGTTCAAAACACTAAATGAAGGTATCCACTGCTACATGTCCTACGCTCGAACCGTTGGCTTTGATGTCCGTTGTAGCTCGGTGAAGCGCAACAGAGCCGAGGAAATCTACTCACGATACTTAGTGTGCAATCGGCAAGGGATCAAAGGCGGTGGCAGACTACCCAGTGTTCATGACCGGGTTGTCAACGCTGGGGATAACCGTGAGCACCGCCGTCGGCTTTCTAATAGAGTCAACTGCAAAGCAAGGATCGGTTTTAAGAAAAAAAAAAGCACCGGGGAGTTCGTTGTGACCGTTTTTGAAGAAGAACATACTCATAAGTTGTGCACGGAGTCTTCTAAAGTGTTTATGCGGATAAACCGACGACTGAATGTTGCCCAACAAGCTTTCTTAGGTAACTGTGTGAAAGCAAACATCGGTGCATCAACGGGGTTGCGGTTTTGCAAAGAGACCACTGGATCATATGCAAATGTGGGCGCTACAGACGTGGAATTTCACAATTTTAAACGAGACGTCCAAACATATGTTGATGTAGCTGATGGCGAGATGATTATCGCAACGTTCAAAGCCAAACAAGAAATGTGTAGAGACTTTTTTTTTGACTACCATCTAGATGAGGAGAACCGGTTGTCCCGCTTATTCTGGGCTGACCCCCGTGGTAGGCGCAATTTTTCTTGCTATGGCGATAATATATCATTCGACGCAACGTATGGGACAAACAGGTATGCAGTTGCAATTTGAATACCAATTTCGCAATTAATACTAAAGAAGTGTTTTTGAGGGCAGAATGATATATATGGAGATTAAGAGGTGTTTTTGAATACTTGTTTTTTATTAATAGCATTGCATGGAGATTTTGAGGGCAGAATGATATATATGGAGATTTTTTTTTGTTTTTCAGTTGTTAGTTTTGCATGGAAGATGCACTGTGTATGTATGTTTAGGCCATGTGAACTGGCAGATTTTAATCCATGCTTTAAGCTCCTTTGCTCCGTATTTAATTAGTATGGCCATGTGAACTGTGTATGTATGTATGAGTGTGCTTTAGGGAAGTGTTTTTGAATACTTGTTTTTGAATAAGTATAGGAAGCAATTTTCATAATTTTTTCTTTCCAGCTGCGCCAATCTGAATTTTATCAGGCAACCATCAGATTGCGTACAATTATTCCTTTTAAACCACCATAAAAACACCTTAACACATATTCAAGGATTCCTAAACATCTAAACGCACATACCTACTCACATAATATAACAAACTAACTTTCCATGTTAAATATCACAAATTATTCAACACCACGAATCAACTAAACATTTAATAAACCCAGTTGTTGATATGGGTTCAAAGGAATTTTAGTACCACACACATAGCCTACCTGCCGAGATGGTGCAGCAATGTTCGTCCGGGCACCGTTGTTAACACCTCGGCCGGTCGGCAAATCAGACATGCCACCTGTCCCAGTAGCCACCAGCACGGCCTGGTCGAGCTCCCGTATGAACTCCTCATCATTCCACATTGTTTCTTCATTGCGACCTCCTGAAGGGGCAGGCGGCGAGGATGCAGGCACGGTTGCATTGACTGAAGTGTTAACAACCCCATCCAGCAGTTTGTTTGACTCCACCACAATTTGGAAAGTGCAGTCTTCCCGAGCTGTGCTTGGATGCTGAGAAATCAGACCCACCACCCGTGCAACCCACGAGCGCAACTCACCGGCGGCTACTGCGAACTCGGTGGCAAACCCCTGCAAACCAGGAAAACGAATGAAACACAGAAAAACCAACTAAAAGGAAAAAGCATGCACCAACCACACCAGAATATTGTGCACCAACACATACCATGTTATTACCGGATGCCCGGAGAGGTGCATCCAGTTGACCCTGCCCAAAGCCCCCTGAAGTTAGCTCACTCCACTCACGCGCCTTGATGAAATCAGTGGTCCACACCGCCACCAACGGGACTGTCCTTGGTACCTCACGCATGCCCACCGCAACTCTATCCAAATACAATAGCTGGTACAACAATATGTTCATCAAATTAGTAAAGTTACTACACCCCCCCCCCCCCCCCATAATAGCACTTACAGACAAAAAGAGAAGTGGGCCAATGAATTTGCGACTCGAATCCTCAGTCCAGCTCCGGTGGGTGCTAACTAGCGATTGAATCAAATACCCACACCAGTCCAGGTCTTTAATTCTGTCCACATTGCTTAACATGTGAACAATTTTCTGGTTTGCATACCCATTCGGAGTGCTTGCAACCAGTGTCGTAACCACCACAATACTGAAATGCAATTTGAACCACATGCCCCCGTCTTCCAACTGTTGCATCCGTTCACACAATGCTTTAACCGTGACCCTCCCCCTACGTTGGTTTACCTCATCCCTCCAGGCTCGCAACTCCGGGCTAACCAGTTGACTATCTCGTTCTACAATTGGTATTGGTCCAGCCGGCATGCCAAGGACCACAGCGACATCCTCCTTGGTGACCGCAATGTAGCGACCAGCCCCCAGATTAATCCTCATTGTAGACGGGTCAAAATTTACGACCAACCAATGCCCCAACTGGAGCGGGACCTCCGTAATCTGTAGTCCTAAAAGCGCACCAAGCCCAATGCTCACAACATCGTCCTTCTGCCTCTGAGTCAACCCTTGCACGAGGTTTACAAGACCCTTCGGCGCCCCCCGCGTATTGATCTGGGCCGTCGGCAATCGTTGCACGCGCATTACCTCACGCGCATCGCCCCCATCCAACACCAGCGGCGGGGTATGGAACTCATCATCCGTCCCGCTTTCATCTCCACTCACCAGGATTACCTGGTGGTCATCACAGCCTGTACCCAAAGACAAACGAATAAAAACACTTTCAAAACTAATAACACCCCTCCCAAAAGCTATACTGATACGGATGCTCTAGGTGTAGCTGTTAAATACCCACACATTTAGGACAGTTACTGCTGAAATTATTCTAATCAAGCTGTGATGTACTTATTATCTAGTTTACTACTTTATGTACAAGATCCTATTACCACTTGGCTCTCTGCTCATAACATTACCATTTTTTTTTTTTGTTCCATGATTCCTGTTAAAGCAACCAAGCCTGCTACTCAGTTGAGTGCTCTAGGAACACATGCACCATAACCAATACCCCGATTTGATAATTTTGAACACCCCAGTATTATACACTATAATTTTGCCAAAGTGGAATTGTTCGAATTTCATCATGCAGCTTAGATCTTTAGCTCTGCCCTTCACTGTATTAGAATTCTAACAATTCCACTTTGTCAAACGCATTTACCAAAGATACTAGTGAGTTCAAGTTTTTTCTTCTCAATTTTCTTTCTTTCTCTTTATCTCTCTGCTTAATTGCAGATTCGTTATCTATATAAAATCCTTCTTAAGCATACTGCCCCCATTAACAGTAGCTCATAACCCATTATAGCCTAACAAAATATAAAATAGTTTTTAATAAAATTTTAGAAAAGTATTATACATTTTTTATTGTAGAAATCTTACGAATTACCCAACAAAATTTATAAAATTGAAAGATGCGAAATTAGTTGAAACATGCAGTGGGAACCAGAGCAGCGAACTCACCTGAACGTAGCGCCGATCTCCTCCGTGCAGCAACTCTGGCCGCCACCCCTGACGCCGACCTGTCAACATCGCCCCGTCCCCCTGCCGCCGGAACACGCCGCCGTGACCGGCGCTTGAAGAGTCGCGACCCGAACGCACGCCTACGGGAACCGGCTGAAGGTGGAGTAATAGGCGGTAATTGAACGGCGTTACTCCCCCGCTTCGACCGGCGTCCACCAACAGACTTCGCCATATCCGCACAAGCCCCCGAATAAGTCACCGGTGTGGAGGTTCAGTGCCCTACGACTAGAATTTTGGGTGTGGATGTGCAGTTCAGGTGTAAGAGATATTGCGATTAGAACAATACGGTCCGGTCAATTAGGACTCCTTACGCTACGCAACCGGTGTAATAGATTGTGTGCCACGCACGCACACCATAAGCGCTGCACCTCCACTTGATACCGTACATCACCCGCGATCGAACGGCAGATAAGAGTTCACACATTCACACTTTAGGCAAAATTCACACCTGAACTGCACTCTATATATATATATATATATATATATATATATATATATATAGAGTGCAGTTCAGGTGTGAATTTTGCCTAAAGTGTGAATGTGTGAACTCTTATCTGCCGTTCGATCGCGGGTGATGTACGGTATCAAGTGGAGGTGCAGCGCTTATGGTGTGCGTGCGTGGCACACAATCTATTACACCGGTTGCGTAGCGTAAGGAGTCCTAATTGACCGGACCGTATTGTTCTAATCGCAATATCTCTTACACCTGAACTGCACATCCACACCCAAAATTCTAGTCGTAGGGCACTGAACCTCCACACCGGTGACTTATTCGGGGGCTTGTGCGGATATGGCGAAGTCTGTTGGTGGACGCCGGTCGAAGCGGGGGAGTAACGCCGTTCAATTACCGCCTATTACTCCACCTTCAGCCGGTTCCCGTAGGCGTGCGTTCGGGTCGCGACTCTTCAAGCGCCGGTCACGGCGGCGTGTTCCGGCGGCAGGGGGACGGGGCGATGTTGACAGGTCGGCGTCAGGGGTGGCGGCCAGAGTTGCTGCACGGAGGAGATCGGCGCTACGTTCAGGTGAGTTCGCTGCTCTGGTTCCCACTGCATGTTTCAACTAATTTCGCATCTTTCAATTTTATAAATTTTGTTGGGTAATTCGTAAGATTTCTACAATAAAAAATGTATAATACTTTTCTAAAATTTTATTAAAAACTATTTTATATTTTGTTAGGCTATAATGGGTTATGAGCTACTGTTAATGGGGGCAGTATGCTTAAGAAGGATTTTATATAGATAACGAATCTGCAATTAAGCAGAGAGATAAAGAGAAAGAAAGAAAATTGAGAAGAAAAAACTTGAACTCACTAGTATCTTTGGTAAATGCGTTTGACAAAGTGGAATTGTTAGAATTCTAATACAGTGAAGGGCAGAGCTAAAGATCTAAGCTGCATGATGAAATTCGAACAATTCCACTTTGGCAAAATTATAGTGTATAATACTGGGGTGTTCAAAATTATCAAATCGGGGTATTGGTTATGGTGCATGTGTTCCTAGAGCACTCAACTGAGTAGCAGGCTTGGTTGCTTTAACAGGAATCATGGAACAAAAAAAAAAAATGGTAATGTTATGAGCAGAGAGCCAAGTGGTAATAGGATCTTGTACATAAAGTAGTAAACTAGATAATAAGTACATCACAGCTTGATTAGAATAATTTCAGCAGTAACTGTCCTAAATGTGTGGGTATTTAACAGCTACACCTAGAGCATCCGTATCAGTATAGCTTTTGGGAGGGGTGTTATTAGTTTTGAAAGTGTTTTTATTCGTTTGTCTTTGGGTACAGGCTGTGATGACCACCAGGTAATCCTGGTGAGTGGAGATGAAAGCGGGACGGATGATGAGTTCCATACCCCGCCGCTGGTGTTGGATGGGGGCGATGCGCGTGAG